GGGACTATAGGCACCCACCACCATGCCCAGCTAATTTCTGTATTTTTTTTGTAGAGACAGGGTTTCGCCATGTGGCTCAGGCTGGTCTCGAACTCCTGACTTCAAGTGATCTGCCTGCCTCGACTTCCCGAAGTGCTAAGATTACAGGTGTCAGCCACCACGCCTGACCATGGCCTTATATTTTAAAGAAAGCATATATGTCATTGCACATTCTCTTGGAAAGAGAAAGTAAACTTTTCAGACTAAAACAGAAAATACTTGGGTTTTAGTCTTGATGACACCATGTAACAGGCCTCCTGCTTTAGCAAATCAGGAATAAGAAGTATTAATATAGGAATAAAAAGACTATTCCTGTCTTCTTATGTACCAAAAAAGAACTTGATACTCATTGTATTATTTTTGCTGGAATGCTAAAGAATGAAAAGAATTGATTAATAATGGTACAATAGGGTTTAATCTTTCAGAACAAAGGTTGCACTATAAGATGGGGGTGCGTGATTCAGGTTCCTAGTATGTGAGTAAAGACCTTAGGCTCTGAATGCTTACTTACTATATTCTGTTACTAAGAAGTTAGAATGCGATGACAGAATCATTCGTGTACATATAGAACTGGTATGTTTTCATAGGAACCTTACGTCTTTGAACATCTGCTGGCAGCCTCAGAGAATGGCATGTTGCTGTTACTCTACACAGAGAATTTCACTCCACCGCTTCACAGCGTTAAAAACTAAATGTCTGTCATGGGAAATTGCTGTATTTTTTCTTAACCAAATTATTAAATTCAAATATTTGAATGCAGCAGACAAAAAATATAATAAACCCATATAATTCAGCTTATCCTTCAATCATGCTCTTCAAATATTCCAGGAATCTATTACTTGCTAATATTAAAATCTAGACTTTTTGAGTATTTGATTCAAACGTTTGTACTTGAAGGAATAAAATGTTTAGACCATCTGAGTGTAGCCCATATTACATAGTGTTTATTAACTTTGGGGGGCAAAATTGTTTAAACATATGCATTCCCTGCTACAGCATGAAATTTGTCGTAAGAATGGTCTATTGTATCCAAGGAGGCTGATTATTGGTATAATGAGTGTATTTGTTTGCTAGGGCTGCCAATAGCAAAGTGCCACGGTGAATGGCTTAAAGAACAGAAATTCATTTTCTTACAATTCTGAAAGCTAGAAGTTTGAGATCAACATGTAGGCAGGTTGGGCTTCTGTAACCTCTCCCCTTGGCTACAGATGTCCACCTTCTTGCTGTGTGTTCACATGGTCATCTTTTTGTGCATCCACGTGTCTCTCTCTGGTAATGACTTAATCTTTTCTTCTGCAAGGATACCAGTCGCATTGGATTGGGGCCCACCCTAACCACCCTATTTGAACATAATTACCTCTTTAAAAATCCTATCCCCAAATATAACTCCATTCTAAAGTACTGGGGGTAACGTATGAACTTAACCCCATCACAATGAGGGAGATTATTTTTACGTCAGTCTGATGAGAACTCATCCCTATAGCACATACATTTAGCAGAGCATTAATGCAGAACACCAGATTGGTAGTTACTTCTTCTATAAGCCTGCATCTCAAGTTGTCCTGCATTTGGAGCATCAAGGATGAGAAATCTCAAGGTAATGAGGACTCCAAGGCCAGAAAAGTTTAGAGGAAGTTCAAGAAGTTCAACTACACAATAGCAGCAGACGGATTTAAAGCCAGGTGTGCTGAGTGTGGGTCCATATACTATGTGAAAAATTAAAATTGTCTGTCCTATTGGCATATTTTTAAGTTGTGTCCTTTATGATGATAAAATGAGGAAGAGTGGGGATCAGAAAGCAAATTGAAAAGAGGCCTGAGTTCTAGCTAGGCTACAGGAAGTTTGTCAATCTTTGGCCAAGCCCCTAAATGTTCATTGTTCAGTATTTATTATAAAAATGTCACTTATGCCTCTCTAATAGACCCCTAGGATCATGGGGACAAAACAGGGTGACAGTATTTAACGAGTGTCCCTTCTGTTCCTGTAGCAGTGAGACCCAGTAGGGATGTACCTCTGCCAAACAGAAGCCTGCTCCCTGTCGCTTTTAGAGATGAAATCAACGTTATCAGCCACCCCTGTAGCAAAAAGAGAAACTCTTACCTAAAGACCATAACCCTTCATTTTACAAATGAGATGTTTCAGCCCCAGAAAGGGGAAGTATTTAAAATTTTGCATTTGCTTATTAGCTTAGCTGGAAGTGAGACTACCATCTTGTTTTACCAAATTTGGTTCGTCCTTTAATTTCATCTCATAATTCCAGCAATATGTATGAAAATAGTATTTGCGGTTTTGCTTCTAAATGCATCTTCAACTTGCGGTTTCCTGCATTTTCCTCTACAATTCATCATCACATGAAAACCAGGTGAGGGCATTAACTTTCTTTTGAAACCTTACCAAGACATTTGTGCCAAAGGACAAAATCATCATGAAGCTCAATCCTTGTGCTGAAATGTATTCACTTCAGCTGTTTGCACTTGGCTTGGTTAAAGGAAAGGAAAAACATGGCCTTGTGAACCTGCAGACTGGGATTGATTCCCAACTCAGCTGCTTACTTGGTGTGTGGTAGATTACAAATTGAATTCCTAGTCTGAGTCTGCTTCCTTATTTGTAAGAGTAATAATAACAGTAACTACCTAGCCAGCTAACTGTAAGGAAGAGACAAAACATATATATGTCAGGAGTTTAATACCAGGCACACTCCAGACAGTTGGTAAATGGTACCTATCTTTGCTCTGCTTTTCTCTTGGCGCTCTAAGAAATGATGACTATTTTAGTCTACAGAAGGTGTGATTTTCCAACCCTCTGGATTGATTGAAGGCCCACACCTCTTAATTCTTGGAATTTCAGATACTTGAGACTCTGTAAAATGGAAAATTTGTTCTACCTAGTTCTGACAGATGATCAGCAGTGTGTCCTCAAGAGCAAATGCCTTGAAAAACAACAAATGCTATATAAAGTGTCAAATAGGAAGCCTGACTAGCGATTCATTTTATTTATAAAATTTATGTCCCAATTTTCATACTCTGATTAGCATATAAAATCAATTTTTGGAACTGAAATAGAAAATAACATATCAGTTCTAATTACTTCACTTAGAAAAGTAATTCTTAAAGATGGAAATAATTTTCATAATAGGCAATTGATTATAATAGTAATGTGAGCAGTGAATAATTATTTGAACTCAGCTTTTAATGGGTCTTTTAATGGCAACATAGAATATGTAAAAGTAAGGATATGTATGCACGATCAATATATCATTAGGCAAAAATTATTAATTTAACTTTTTTGTGGCTTCTCAGTCTGTACATTTTTTTTAGAACAAGTGGCGGATTTAAAATGCAGAGATTTGCAGTGCAGGTAAAATACATATGGGATTAAGGGGATTTGTATAATTGCTGACTTCTAGCTCTCTTTTTACAAGAGTGATAATATCCAAAATCTTTGCTTGCAATTATTCAACTAAAGGAAGGCAAAAGGTACACCCATCCTGGCTAAAACACCCAATTAATAGTCAAATATGAAGAATTATTAGCAGTCTAATAATTCAGATTTGGCTTATATTTCTGTTGTCAAGTGTAGCAATTTGCTTCAAGTCATGTTTTTTTGTTTTGATTAAGAGTGAGAAGGGTAAGAAACGGTAACACGGTGATTATAGGTCAGAAGTAGATTGCCTGCATTTGTATCCTAATACCACTGAGACATTTCATGTATACCAGGAAAGGTTGGGCAAATTACTTTACTGCTCCGAGTCTAGATTTGGGCACTTATAAAATGGGGATGACAGCATGCTTGCACCATTGGGCCATATGAAACTTAAGGAAGACATTTTATGCAAAACAGCTCAATGAATATCACACAATTAGCACTCAGCAAACGTGTGTCATTGTTAAAGAAGGTAACGAATGACCTCAAGTAATGGACCTGTGTTTGGTTTTCTATTCTCTTTGATTCAAGTAGAGACCCAGCTCAGCAACATACTGTAAAGGAGCTGATCTGATCGTTCTTACCAAGATAAAAAAAAAAAAAATCTAACATCAATCCGTTCACTGTTTTCCTGCACTGCAGCAGTGTGAGGGGCACCCTAAATTAGGAATTTTGCTAATTATTTTCTGGCAGGGCATCTGCTACTCCACATGCTTCATTACTGTCATTCCACCTTTAAAACAGGCAGCAGCCTCCTTCAAGGAGATTGTTATGACTGGAGAACAGCTTGATAACCAAGCCCAATCTACATATACTCAGTACAAGGAAATTCTTTTTATATGTAAATACAGAGAAATGGTCATAGGTGGTGTGGAGGGATAGAAGGAGCATGAACTTGGGAGCTGGACAGCCATGCTCTTGAATCTCCACTTGGCCACTCTCCACCTATGAAGTGTCAGACAGTGTATCCAACTCTCGTGATCAATAGCTTTTAAAATCTGGGTGATAATATCTATTTGCTGAGAAGTTTCGATTAAATAAGATTACGAATGTAAAAGTGCCCAAGCTAGCTTCTGTCACATGGCATGCTCTCCATGACACATACTTTAAACTCCCACCACCATGAGAACTGCCAATTCATTTTTCAAAAGAAATGAATATGACATAGCACCAGCTTTATATGTATTCATTCACACGATCCTCTTAAAAGCCCTATGAAACAGGAATCATTATTATTATCCCCATTTTACAGATGAGAAATCTGAGACACAAAGTGGCTGAGAGACTTGGCCAAGGTCAAATGGTCATTAAGTCACAGAGCCATGCTTTGAATCCAGACAGGATGGCTCCAGCATCCACACTTAGAACCATTGAAATAAACCATCTCTCAACAGATTACTAATGGCCTTCTTTTCTTCCCTTGTCTTTTCTTCTCCCAGCAAATTGAGTCCCTCCTATAGCCTTTATTACAGTGCCTAGATCTCTGTATGCACATGGGAGGTTGCAAGGTCCTCCTTTGTGTCTTTAATTTTTTTCCCTTTTAAATGGAGTGCTTCACAAACCTGGGTGTCATCCTTGCACAGGGCCATCCGAATCTTCTCTTAGCTTCCAGTTTTAGTACATGTGCTGCTGAAACAAGCACCTTCCTTGTGTGTGAATCGCTTTCAGTTCCACACAACATCCAGTGCAGCCCCTCACTATGTAGGTGAGCAAAATAAACATGATATAAACACCGTAGCAAAGGAGATTTGAGAAGTTTTCTGTAGCATGGTGTTCAGCAATGCGGCCTGATAGGCTCTAAGGACTTAGATATGATTATGGAAAGTGTTGAAAGAAAGTAGAAGATGCTAGATCGCCACCACTCTCAGTTCTACTAGTAATTCGGTGGTGGCTGACAAGTTGAACAGAGTGTGGCTAATGTGGATAGTAGCTGTAGAAATGTGGGACTATCGAGTCTTTCCATGTGACTTCACTTCCACACTCTATTTGTTGTGCTCATCAAGGGCATGGCTTTTCCTAGTCATGGAAGGAGCAGAGAGCATTAACACTCATTGGTAATGCATTAAGGGTCCCAAGCCAGGCTTCAAACACAGCCCCCAGTGACTCCAGAGCCTTTCCTCTTATGACGTATGATACCATCTGCTGACTAATGACCTCTTCAGACTTCAGGCCCTAGGATTTATCTAAAAAAGAGGGAGAAAAGTACCTAAACATCATCATTCCCTGCTTTTTTGCCTGGAGCAACTCTGGAAAGAATTAACTCCCGATCTGCTATGAAACTCCAGGAGCTGCTAGTCAGAGTGATAGCAAGTGCACTTCCGAACTAATTCTGGGATGACTTAATTTGTAGAGGCTTTGTATTCATTCTGCCTGTGAACATTAAAGGAAAGTTCAGAGAAACGAAGAGCAAGTTTTAGATTCATAATTATTTCAAAAAAGAGCTGGCAAGGAGTCCCATTGCTGGGTAGTCAAGGTTTCATTTTTTGAGACCAGAAATTTCCCTAGAAAGGGAACCTTTTTGGAAAAGTGGTGTCAAGCAGTACACCTGTACAGTGATGGATCTGCTTGTGAAGGGCTCAGTCCATAGCTCTGTTGTCTAACCGTGCATTGGGTATTGACATGCTGTCTCACTCTGAGCAAGTCATTTGACTTCCCACCTCGGGTCAGCCATCTGTGAAGTGAAGGAAAGCTTCCAGACCTCCTCTAGAAGCAGAGAAAATAGCAGGGTGAAAGAAGCACTTAATTTTCTAGGGGTGAATATAAATTTCTGTTTATCATTAATCTCAGAATCCTTAAAAAATGTTATTTTCAAATACAGTGGACATATTTTCTGAAACATTCAAGTCTTAAGCATAAGCATGCCAACAATTACATGTTTATGTATTGACTATATCATTAATGCCTCAAAATCATTATTCTAAAACCTCATTTTCTGTCTAAAAAGTTAGATAGAAAAATGCACCATTGAGACAATTGGCTGCATAAAAACATCTGAACATTTTGTGAGGTTTTTTTTTTTGGCTGAAATTATTATATGCTCTTAAGTATTGATTTTTTTTGGCTGAAATTATTATATGCTCTTAAGTATTGATTTTTTTGGCTGAAATTATTATATGCTCTTAAGTATTGATTTTTTATTCTAAAAATGAGGCATTGAACTTGATTCTGGTTAATTGGGTGCATTAGAGAGTGGGATTCTGGTTAATGGAGTCTTATCATGTTTATTTAAAATGGAATCTTTCATTTGGTGCTTTGATGGTGTTTATCAGGCAATTTCTTTAGCTCAGTGAAAAAAACAAAGGTGCATTTAAAAATAACTCAAGAGGAAATGTTATATTGAGCCTGTTTTCTCAGAGCACTTGACTGAAGCTTAGAGAAGCAATTTAGGTGTCCTTATTAGATGTAAAGCCCCAGGGTGCCCTCTGAAGTCTCCTTGAGGACACACTTTTTCTCATCACCCAGAATCTCCTTTCTTGACAATTCAGAGATGGTGCTGTTAGACAGGGGTCTACACATGTGTAACACACATGTGAGCTAAACATAGCTGCCTGAGAGAGGAAGAACTGTAATTCCTGACAGTTGTGTAAATAGCATCCTCTCCCACCAGCTGGAAACCCATCCAAGAAACAGCCTAACCTCCACACCAGGGTCGCTGTCCTCAAACCGAAGGACCAGGAACAGAGAGGCAAAATGCTCTCTTCGCAGTCATTATTTGTCACTTTGTGTGTGGAAATGTGGCATGCTTCCTCCAGGGAGGAGTTGTAGTTACTGGAAGTCATTCTTGTCTGGCAGCTTTCCCCATCTTTAATGGGCACCTCAGGTGACATCAACCTGTAGCCCAGCTGCTGTTGCTAAGGTTCAACCACTTAAAACAGGTCCTGGGATGGCTGTTTATGCACTTAAGTGGAAAAGCAGTACCCAAGTCATCCCTGAGATTTAGCGAGGACAGAATAATTGCTTTCCTTTCAGTGGCAGGTGATGCATTTGCCACCATGGAGCAGAACATGCTGCTGCTCTCTGTCATAACGGGAGCAACGGGAGAGGAACGCAGGAGGAAATAGAAAATGTCAAAGAGCTCTGGGTTGAAAATTGCATTTTACAGATGCCATTAAGCTCTGTTGGGAGAGAAGATGAAAATGCTAATTGACAGATTTAGTTATGTTTTATTGTCTTTGAGTTGCTGAGTAAGTCATCAGATGATGTTGTTTAATCATTAATGTTAAACTTTAGAAGAATCCATCAAGTGTTTGCCATTCATCTTTTACCCTCTCCACAAATGTATCTTAAACTACTAAAACCTGCCGGCAAAGGAGTATAAATATTTATATTCAGCCCAAGAACTGATAAAAGTCTTAATCACACAGCATAAGAATATTAATTATAGAATAAAAATTGCATTTCAGTCAGGACAATTAGGATATCTTTTATTCTTTTACCTAAAACTACACGTACACTCACATATATGCACACATACTTTTGCACACGTTTGCTCATTTTTAATCCATAAAATAAGAATAATAACAGTATATGTCACAGTGGGAATGTGTGTGCATGTATGTCTGTGCATGTATTAAATGAGTTAATATGTGCTTAGAACATAGTATATGCTTAATTCTTCTTCTTTTAATACAGGGCCTTGCACTGTAGCCCAGGCTAGAGTACAGTGGCACAATTATAGCTCACTGCAAACTTGAACCCCGGAGCTGAAACAATCCTCCCTCCTCAGCCTCTCAAGTAGGCTGAGAGTACAGGTGCCCACCACCACACCTGGCTAATTTTTTAAATTTTATTTTTTGTAGACACAGAGTCTTGCTATGTTGCCCAGGCTGATCTTGAACTCCTGGCCTCAAGTGATCCTCCTGACTTAGCCTCCCAAAGCCCTGGGTTATAGACATGAGCTACTGTGCCTGACCTTCAATATTTTTTAGCTGCTACTAATATCATATAATGCAGAAAGTTATATAGCAAATAAAGTTAAAATTAAGAGACTTGTAAACTCTTTTCTTTTTGTTAATGGATATTTTATTATATGCTTGCAATTAAATGAACATTGAAAGCATTTTAAAAATACAACATGTATTTTTAAAAGGCAATACAAAACATGTCCTTCTTTTAATAAAAAAAATTATTGATACATTTAATAAGAAAAAAACAAAAACAGTGTAAGCCAGGCATGGTGTCTCATCCCTGTAAACCCAGCACTTTGGGAGGCCGAGGCAGGCAGATCACTTGAGCCCAGAGGTTTGAGACCAGCCTGGGAAATATGGTGAAACCCTATCTCTACCAAAAACAAACAAAAAAAATTACAAAAAAAAATTAGCTGAGTATGGTGGCACACACCTATAAACCCAGCTACTCAGGAGGCTGAGGTAGAAGGATCACTTGAGCCTGGGATGTGGATGCTGCAGTGAGCCATGATTGCAGCACTGCCCTGCAGCCTAGGTGACAGAGTGAGACCCTGTCTCAAAAAAAGAAAAAGAGAAAAAATTGCTTTCTTGGCCACATTCCCTCCAAAATCTGGAAAATAATACTCAGTATTACACTCTGTATTTTTCGTACTGTCTTAGCCACTGGCCCCTCCAGTAAAAGTTGACTGTTCAGGGGTATAACTGGAGAGCCTTTAAAAAAACTCAAATTCCTCACAAACCAGAAGAATCTCTCAGAATCCCTATTTTAAAAGATTTCTACAGGTGACTTCATGAAGTTGGATAGAAGAGAGGTCTTGGGCAACTAGAGCTTTTTCTCATGTTTGAGGTACAGTTATGTGGGGGGCCTTTGTCTTCTTTAGTGTTTCTAAAATTCTGGAGTTTAGGAGTTACAAAAGTTTCATAATCTGTCTCAGCATTGGATGTGATGAGTAAATTGATTCGTATATTAATTATTTCAAGGTGTCATGATACAAATGTTCTCCCTCATGCCTCACCTTAATTTTGACAATTCCAGCGGGCTTACATAGTTTGCTCATTTGCTTAGCCCAGCCTCCCTTTCCATTTCTTTCCAAACGCCTTGCCCATCTTTCAACCCCTACCTTTTGTCAGATTTATTCTCCTTTTCTCTTCCATAACACTTAGCTATTCTTTATTAAGACCAATGGTGTCCTTGGTAGGTAAATTCCACCTGGAGCTCCCCTGTATACATCTCTATGTTATTTCTCTTTTGCTAGGCCAATTGGAAACCTGTGAGATACTTAAGGCATGCTTGGTACTCCCTCTTCTTTTAAGCATTTTCCCCAGCCCCTCCCCCCTTGCTCCCTGTCCACATGGCTGTCCCCAGGTTGTCCCTTGCCCCCTCCACAGGCCTGTGGACTATGAGGTGGGAATAACTTATGAGGTGAGACAGGAAGCAGACCCAGATCTGGATGGCTGCTGTCAGCGAAGCCTCCACCTCGGAGTCGCCCAAGTGTTCCGTTCATCCCTCTTCAGCCACTTGGTGGAAAATCGGATTCCTCTTTCTGAAAGCTTCATAGAGAAGAATTAATGGCAAGCTATGTGGGTAAAGGAAACAGTTAAAGGAAACTCTAAACGCCTCCTTAAAATGAATTCCTTTTTATTGTCTTTCTTTTTGTTTACAATAAAAGGCTCCTAGTAACTACAGGGTATTTCCACATAAAGGGTATTTTTTGTCCTAAGATTATGTATACCC